TCATGTTTGTCAAATTTGCTTTATGTCAAATTGCATCCTTGAGCCTTGAAAAAAATCTTGTACAGCAAACAATATCCATAAACTGAGGGGGCCAAGATCATAAACTGCAAGCTGGTAGATAGCCTGTACAGGCTTGTCTTGCATCATTTCTTATTTTTGCTTAAAATACAAGTAAACTTGCAAAAGAGCCACAACTTGCATATCTGTTATAACCAACCCTTGCAAGCATTTGAGACAAGTTTTGCACATTGCCTTGAGCCAGAAACACGAATTGTTGAACCCTCAAGCCTTCCAAAACACAAAATCACCTTCCTTTTTCAAAACATGGCACTTCCTGCAGTTTCACTTCCATAGCAAAAACCACTCGTGCGTTTTGCCCCAAACTTGTTCAAACATATTCCATATAACCTATCCAAGCTATCCCAACCTTTGGACAGTGACTGTAACTCCATTTGCAAGCTTCACCATTTCTGTTTTTAGCTTGTGCAGGTTGAGTTCTACAAGCTTGCTCAAGCAAGTCCAAAGCAAACTAGGCATTAGGAAAGGTCAGAGGAAGTTCAGGAAAGCTCCCAATCATCTCAGGCCTCACTGAAAAGCTCCACATTGCCATACACGAGCTCATCTGAAATAGGTATTTGTCAACTTTCTATCTCTCTATTTAGGAATCATTAGGCTTAGGTTTGTGAATAAAAAATGTAGTACTCATAGCCCTGAAGGTGTACATATGCTCAGTTTTCATTTAAGTTAAGTGTGCTGAGAGAATTTGATTGATGAACATCTTGAAAAAATTAGGTTAGAAATTAGAGCCAGAGAAATTCTCTCTGGTCTTTAAGAGTTAGATTGAGTTTTTTATATGGTTGAAATTGTGGTTTAATGCTCTACAAGTTTCATGTTTTGAGTTTTTGATTTCATGCAAAGAATAGAGAGAACAGAACTGAAGATACAGGGCGCGCGTTTTCTGTTCAAAGGTCGAAGATGAAGTTCATTGGGCTGGGCTTGGTTCTGGCTTTGTTTTTGACACCCCCTCTTTACTGATTGCACCTCCCTGGCCCATTTCTTTATATTTTTGTATTTTTCTATTTATTTTTCATTTCTGATTTTATTTTATATTTTCTAAACATAAAAAATATCAAAAACATTTTCATAAATTTTCATATTTTATTTTATTTTATTTTTTATTATTTTTCCAACATGAAAATAATTTTTAGATAATATACCTTTATTTTATTTAATGAAAACTTGAAAATAATACATAAACATATTATGCCTTTATTTTTATTATTTACACTTAAATAATATTTTTTCTAATATATTTTTATTTTGTATATATTTTATTTTATTTTATTGTACATGAATAATATATATATATATATATATATATATATATATATATATATATATATATATATATATATATATATATATATATATATATATATATATATATATATATATATATATATATATATATATATATATATATATATATATATATATATATATATATATATATATACTTTCTTAAAGAAAATTAGGGTTTTTACCCTTAATAAAAAATAATCTTTTATTTCTTTTTTTTTTAAATACATTAAATATTATATTTTTACATACATAAAAGTAAATAAAAACATTCTCTTTGCATACTTATAATATTTTGCATATTTATACTTAATTTGTTTATTTAAATATTGCTTATTTATTTGATACAAAAGAATTCAATTTGGTTGTAATAATTTAGGGTTTTAATTTCTTGCAAAATAATCCCTTATTCAAAAATTGTATCCCCATCCCCACATCAATGTTGTAATAGCTTAGGTTTATTTTACGCATTTTATGCTTTCAAATATGTCATGTTAGAGATTAGGGTTTGTATGCAAAAATCCAAAATGAAAACAAATAGCTTGAGTAATACAAAGACAAAAAGCATGAAAATTGACAACACAATACACACATGCACCCCTAGGGTTTCATCCACTTGTTGCCTTTAAAATGGCCATGTTATGCATGTTGAGTATCTTGGCAAAACAAAAACAAAACAAAAAGATTATAGTCCCTCGATGACGCTATCTTGGTTGCCTATACAAAATGATCTAGTCCCTCAAAAATTTGCTAAGATACTTAGCACAATTGCTATCAGGGTCCATACGATGACCCGCGCCTGTCCCGTTTAACATCCAAATACAAGGTTGTTTACCAAATGCAATGGTAAAACAACACTGTCAAAAGGGTTAAAAATGTGTAGGAAAGATCTTTGAGTAAAATAGGGTAGACAACTCTTAGTTACTTGATCAAAACTTGCAAAAACATCCTTGCTATTTTCAAACACACATCACAACACAATTTCAAAACATTTCCCAAAACAAACTTTCAAACATTGAAACATCTTTTCAAAAGACAAACACCTTTGTATATATTCAAACAAGAATCATTACAAAGGTTGCCACAACGATGACCTCTTTTCAAAAAAAACATTTTCAAAACCACACACAAAGAACCATTTTAAACAATTGAAAAACAAAAGCAAGTGATCTAAACAATTAACTAAGAGCCCATGGAAAACCATGGATGAAAAGGGTGCTTGCACCTTCCCTTTTCATAATCTACTCCCCAAACCCAAGAAAACATCTCAAAGGTCTTTCCTGTGCTTTTTGACCTTTCCTTTGGATAAAATAAAAAGTCGGTGGCGACTCTTGCTAAACCGAAACATTTGCGAACACAAACGCAAAACCTCAAGTCAGTTCTCCCACCGTATCACAACGTGCATCACAGCCCGAGCATACCTCTTCCTAGTTAAACTCGTTTTCCCACCTCCAGCAAACCCGTCAGTGATGGTGTTGAGAGTATGACGATCTGATTTTGTTTCGTGGACTTCCTCGGGGCATTTCCCCTTCTTGTCAGAAGACTCTTTCGGTCCCGAGTCGTCCCTTCGAGAGTCTCTCTTCCTGAATTATGACTTATTGTCTTTCACATAGGATAAGAGATGTCCCCTCTGTATCATCATTTCAATCTCTTTCTTCAGTTGGTGACAGTCGTCGGTGTGGTGACCTCGAACTCGGTGATAACTACACCAAGCTCGACGTCTTTTCCCATCACGGTGTAAGACCCTTAGGAAGACCTGGCGCTGCCGGGATCAGATTCAAGTGGTCAACCTCCTGCAGTATATCGCCCCTCCGAGTATTCAACAGAGTCAAATCTTCATCTGAAACCAAGGGTCTGTGATTTGGTCTCTGACCAGCCCTTCCCCGGGGATGTTCTCGGGCTCGTTCACGAGCAGTGTACCGGGAAGGTTCTTGGCGTCTCCCTACCCCGTCTTCCTTACTTTTGGACCTTTCAGTAGTGTCTCTTGAACGTTTCTTCCGGTTACTCTCTTCTCCTTTTATGTAACATTCTGCTCTGTTAATAATTTCCTCCATGTTGGAGGCCGATTTCTGAGCTAGGGACTCATTGAATTGCCCAACCCTAAACCATGCTGAAACGCTCCCACGAATAGCTCCTGATCAGGGTGTGATAATTTGATGGTTTCTTCATTGAATATGGCCAAATACTCTCGCAAGAATTCCGACTGCCCCTGTCGAACATTAAACATGACAGTGGTTGATATCTTGCGGTGTCTGTTGGCCGAGAAGTGTTGTACCAACTTCTTGGTTATATTTGTGTAGCTTTCCACGGATAGTCGGGGTAGGCTCATATACCACCTTAAAGCTACATCCTTGAAGGTTCCTGCCATGAGTTTACACTTCAGGGAACTAGTAGGGCCTATTATTGCCATCTGATTGTTGATAGCAATAACGTGCTCTTAAGGATCAAGCCAACATAAGCTGTGAGTGATATGCTTTGAAGTTGTCAGGGATTTGATCGTACTAGATTGCTTATGAGAGTGGTTGAGGATCCACAAGCTCCTCTTCTGGAGGGTCCTCCCCTTGACTCTTTTGTTGCAAGTCTGCTACACTATCCTGCAAGGTATCGTTTTGTTGCCTAAGGGCCTCCACCATGGCCAATAGTTACGCATCTGGGGGGTCCCCATCGGTTGACATTCTGACAAATGTGGTTTGTTGTGTGGCCTAGGACAGTTTTACCGAGGCCCCACGGTGGGCGCCAAATGTTCTTGCGTAGGAAAACTAAACGGTTAGTTTCCCTATAGGAATAGGGTGAGCCACAAAGGTAGATTTCTGTAAGTATGATTGAGGATTTGAGAGCTATGCTAACAGTGTGTATTGTCTCAAGAATATGTCTTGCTTATCCCTCTTGCGGGAGCCCCTTTATATAACTTTCATAATACCTCCAAGAGCCTCCTTTAAGGCACACCCTTGGAGTTCCTAACATTGTCCAGAAATGTTGTCCGCTAGCCATTATTGATGAACTTAACTCAGGACAACGGCTGATGATTAATAGCTAGTGACCGTTTCTAGAGTTACGACCGGGTCCTCACGATGATTCTTCGTATTATGTTGGGTCGCGTCCTAGAGAGCATTACTCGGATGTAAGCTCTCGAAGATAGGACGCGGACAAGCCCTCTGGTTCCGAGGACAGTAGCCGAATGTACACTCATATCCACACTTTCTTTGCCTTCTCGCCATCCTTCTTAAGCCGACTATAGGTCCTGACCCAATATATTTATTCTGAGATATACAAAAATAAAATTTGTTAATCTCTTCGGTCCTTAATATAAGAAAAAATTTACTTTTTAAATTCATTGAAGAATCAATGTATACATATGATATGAAGTTTTCCTATCAAATCTATGAACTAGGATTTCTACATTAAAAGGAGAAGAACATTAATTTGACTAAATGAAATAAAGGAAGATAAAAGATTTTTTTCATTTGATTCTTGATACCTAATGTCTTAATGAGACTACAATATATAGTACTTCTAATGATAATAAACTTAAAGGTCCAAACACTACTAAAAACCCAATTCAACAAAATATTCAAAATAAAATAACAACTAACAGGTTCACTTGAACCTTGTCCTCAAGGTTCTAAAATTACTCCCAGATCTCATTGCTTAAACTTAAACTGAATAATCATAAGATTAAGAAGTGTGATGATTGAAGGTGTATAGACAGCATACTTAATCATCTCACCGTATAATGCTTCCGCAGTATCTAATTGGCCTAACTTTGCAAAGCTTGATATCACAGCACAATAAGGGGCACAATCACTCACCAATCCGGCCTCCTGCATTTTATTTAGATAAGGTATTGCAATGTATGGCTTGTCAGCACAGGACAAAATATGTATGAGATAAATGTAGCTGCATCCCTTTGCAGCACAGCCAAATTTCACCATACGATCAAATAGTTGGCATGCTTTATCATAGCATTTCCCTATCCCATAAGCTTTAATCATCACATTAAACACTATGACACTAAGATTCTTCCTCTCTTTGCAGCACATAAAGACTTTGTCTGTTTCTAATGTGTATCTTTTCTCAGCATATGCATAAATGACGACTGAATAACGGCTAGAAGTTATATTCCCCGCTAGGTGAAACCTCATGAACCATAACCAAGATTTCTCCGGCATATCTAATTATACATACATCTTAGTCAATGCAGATTGGGTGAATTCATCAATCTTAAGACCCCTTTCATCCATAAACAAGATTGCATCTTCCACTTCACACAAAGCATAAATTCTAGTTGTATAAGCACTGAGCACACTCAATATCATGAAATCCGTCGGCTCAACTTCTTTCCTTGCCTGCAGGAAAACCATACAAGCCCTCTATTCCTCATGATTCTGAGCACCAAGCATAGAGCACCACGAAACAACATTTTTCCCTCTTCCATTTCTACTAAAAACCATTTCAGAAGATACAACATTCCCACATTTTCCATAGAAATCAAAAAGCCCATCAACAACAGAAACATCCTCTTTGTATCCAGACTTAACTATAAACGAACATAACTGCCGCCCGAGACTCAACCTCAACATATCAACACACGCATTCACAAACTCACAAAACATATTCGAATTCGCCTCTTCATGCACACAAAAAAACTCCTTGAATGCCGCAATCACATCCAAACACCGCCCATCTTGAACCGCATTAGAAATATAAGCATTCCACGTAGCCAAATTTCTATGAGGCATTTCATCAAACATGTTACAAGCATCAACAAAAAGACCGGTTTTACTATACATATCAAAAGCACTGCACCTAACAAACACATCATATATCTGCCCACCTTTAAAAGCAAGAGCATGAACTTGTTTACCAGCCATGGGCATGTTCAACGAAGCAGAAGATTTGAAAACACAAGGATACGTGAAGTCGTTAGGATAAACATTGTGACGCCGCATGTTGGTGAAATGGAGGATCGCGGCGAGGAAATGACGGTTGTGGACGCAACCAGAGATGAGAGTGCCCAGTTCTGAAATTGGTAGTAGTTGCCTCTTCTTCAAAATGGAGTCAATTTGGTTTGAAAATAGAGTACCAGTTTTCAAAATTGGCGGAAGTCCCATATACATAATGGGTTAAATGCACTTTATTCTATGCAATATTTACATTATTAAAAAATATGTAATAAATTTAACCACTGCAACACAATATATTTCAATTTGTATATTTATTAATAATATTTAATAATATATTATATCTGAAACATATGGTTGATTGTACTGGAGAAGATGTTTTGTTCATTGAAGCTGATATTATTCTTAAAGATTTCGGTAATAATCTTCTTGCTCCATTTCCTTGCTTGGATGAGCGTCTTTATGATGTTCCTGGTTCTTCAAACGTTCTGAACGCTCCATTGATGCTTATTTAGGTATAGAAATTTTTTTTTTGAATAATTAGGTATTAAAAAAAATTCGTAAATAACCACGTTTCGAAAAAAATTACGCAAATAATCATGTTTCAGATGACTCCCCAAAGGAGGAGTCATCTCACTTGGCGCCTCCACCTAGGATTTTGTCCTAGGCGTCATCTCACTTGGCGCCTCCTCTCTCTTTTAGTCAAGTGAGATGGCGCATGCACTTTAAAAGTGAGAGGAGGCGCCATCTCACTTGGCTCCTAGGGCAAAATGCAGTTTTTATAAATAATTCGTCCGTTTCTCCGTCATTTCTCACACTTTCTCGCATTGTTTTCTTATTTTTTACTCTGTTATTTGCGTCATGACATCGCCCATGATTTTTATCAGAGATGGTTACGTTATCTTCTCTGCCACGAAACCTGCGATGAAAATGAAATTCTGGCACATTCACTCCATGGAGCGTCTGAAGCGGGAGTTGATGCGATGGGTAGATGGAGACATTGTGGAGGGGGAAAATTCGAAGGATCCAGCGAAGACGAACAACAACCTCACATGCGACTGGAAGACCTAATGTATGGTTGGAGGAAGTCAAAACAGACAGCGGCGTAATGTTGATGATGCATGGGTCAGATGAAATTGTTTTAACAGTTGTAATTTCGTAGACGGAATATCGTGTATTTTTTCTTGTACGCGCAATATTTATTGTAGCAAATACTGTTAACGAAAAACCTTAATGTTTACAACATAATTAAGGAAAGATTTTATGTATTACAATTTTTATGTGGTCGAGGCAGACGCCCGATTCGGACAATTTTTGCGATTGTGTCCGACCTGACGGCATAAACCACACTTTCCTTCCAGCTTGTCAAGGTCGTCCATTTCAGTTGTGATGCGCTTACTTTTGGGACGACCCTTCTTGTTCCTTCGCATTTGGTCATTGTGCCACACTATTTCGCCGTCATATGCAGGCCAATAATCTGGTTTTGCTACCAAAAGAAAGCTGTTGTTGTAAACGTTGAGCAACGTTTCAGATTTGTAAATGTGTGACAGAAGTTGCAGCGCGTCTTGATGGGTATAAGCACAAGCGACAATGACATGAGAGCAAGGCATACGAAAGGCTTGAAACTTGCCACAATCGCACCAACGAGAAGGTAGTATAACCCTATATTCTTGTCTTGGCAGGCCTTCGTTGTGGTCGATTGTCTCTTTCACAATGAAGTTATGGCTGTGTCGGTCAAACCGTATAACCATATGAGTGTTGGCTTTGGCACTTTCTGCCTTAATGTACTTCATGCAGCTTTCACTCCATAGTTGTCCAGATTGCAACACCGCATTCCATATTTCACCTCTTTTGGAAAACAACGCAACCATCCTAAAATACGTCGATTTTACCAAAGCAGTGATCAGGAGGTTTCTTATGCCTTTGAATACCCCATTCATTGATTCAATAAGATTCGTTGTCATGTGCCCCCATCTTTGGCCATTGTCGTATGACCTAGTCCATTTTTCCACCAGAATATTGTCTACCCACCTACCGGCTTCCGAATTTGACAAACGGATCTCATTGCGGTAATATTTGAACGTGGGTTGTGTCAATGCATATCCCGCATTCATAACCTCTTTCCTTAGTGTTTTTTCCTTGATCTCCCTCGTGAAATTCTGGACGATATGCCTAACGCAATAGACATGCGTAGAAGGAGGGTCATGCCAACCGTTTGCAGGATTATTGTAGGCACTTTCAATGGAGGCATGTCTATCAGAGATCAAACAGAGATCTGGTTGAGGAGCCATGTGTGTTCGCAGGTTTTTCAGAAAAAGCTCCAAGCACCACCGGTCTCCCCCTCGACTAGGGCAAAGGCAATTGGGAAAATGTTGTTGTTGTCATCTTGTGCAACTGCCATCAGTAGTGTGCCTTTGTATTTCCCATACAACTAAGTCCCATCAATTTGTATAATTGGTTTGCATGATGCAAACCCTGTGATGCAAGGTTAAAATGCCCAAAACACTCGACTGAATATTTCGTTTCCGTTTAGTTGACTACCATCTTGGGCGTATGCTGGCACTGTTTCCAGAACGTAAACAGTACCCGGAGAATAAGTCTTGAGTGCATTCAGGTAGCGAGGAAGTTCTTGGTATGACTCCTCCCAGTTTCCGTACACCTTTTCAATTGCCTTGGTCTTTGTTAACCACGCCTTACGGTAAGACGGAGTATAGTTAAAAACCGCGGTGATGTGAGAGATGATGGTTTTCACCTTCAAAGATGGGTCGTTGCTGACCAGTGGTAGGATTTCTTGACAAATGAGATCGTAATTAAGTTTTCGATGGTCTTGTGATTGGGTAGAACTTAAACAAGTGTGGGTAGTCATGGAACCTATGACCCAGCAATCACCTCTTAATCTGTATGATGCAGTGAGCTTGAACATACAGTCAGGGTGGACACACTTGATCTTGTACCTTTCTGGGTTGACACGGTCCACCTTAAAATCGACCGAGTTGAGCATGTGGAATTTTTTTATGGCTCTGATGCATTCCTCTCTGTTACGAAACTTGTCCTTCTCTTTTAAGTTTTCATCCGACTGCATATACAGATTGAAAAATAAATCAGTAGACGGTTTATCTCCGCCCATGTTGAAGTTTGTCATGTGCGGAGGTGGTGTGTAGATCTCGTTTGCAGGAATACTGGGTATGCCATCATCGTTGGAATCATCATTCCCCATTTCATCAAACTCTAACTCGTCATCTTCTTCTTCTTCTTCATCAACTGCATCTACCTCTGCTTATTCGTTCTCCAAAGGATCAACCACTTGTGTCACCTGAGGCTCTCGCAGCATAATGTACAACTCAATAGAGTCGTACCCAGAATACACATGGCTGGAAAACATATTCTGAAGACCCTCGTCATCTTGAACCTTAACCTTATAAAATATTATTTGGTTGTTTCCAAAAAAAACTGGATTCTGATAAAATATTTGTGTCACCGGGCCTCGTCCAAGTTTGGCCTCCAATCTTTTTTTGAAGTACGAGAAATTGACTTTCTCGTTTAAAAGAAATCGAATGTTGTCTGTGTCTCTAAACAAAAACTCAGAGGTGGGACAAATGTATGTCTCACCGTTGAAATGTGCATTGATGACATATTGGGGTGCAGAGGCCATTGCGTGTGGTTGTTTGAAGGTTTGAAGGTTGGAATGTTTGAAGTTTATGAGTTATTCGAAGGTTTGTATGTTTGATTGTTTGAAGGTTTGAAGGTTTGATTGTATGAAGGTTTGAAGGTTGGAAGGTTTGAAGGTTGGAATGTTTGAAGTTTATGAGTTATTCGAAGGTTTGTATGTTTGATTGTTTGAAGGTTTGATTGTATGAAGGTTTGAAGGTTGGAAGGTTTGATAGATTAAGTGAATCAGTGTTTTGATAAATGTAAGACTAAATAGGTCATACTGAATTTGAATTAAGTAAGGATGTAACCTCCAAGGCTGCCACCTAGCCTGCGCCTACTCTGCACCTACATGTAACATGTAAGTCTCCTCCCATCACCTCCAATAGTGTTACATGCATTCATGCATGGCATCCCCAAGGCTGTCACCTAGCCTGCGCCTACTCTGCAACCCGTGCCACCTCTTATTCTCCAATGGGGATGACGACACCTTTAATTTTTGTACTCTTTCGCCAAGTCCAATGGCGCCTCTCTTAATGTCCAATCGTGTTACATGCATGCAGAGATGCCTTCTCCAAGGCTGTCACCTAGTCTGCGCCCACTCTGCACCTACACTGTTACTTGTAAGTCTCCTCCCATCACCTTCAATAGTGTTACATGCATTCAGGCATGGCATCCCCAAGGCTATCACCTAGCCTGCGCCTACTCTGCAACTCGTGCCACCTCTTATTCGCCAATGGGGATGGAGACACCTTTCATTTTTGTACTCTTTCTCCAAGTCCAATGGCGCCTCCCTTAATGTCCAATCGTGTTACATGCATGCAGAGATGCCTTCTCCAAGGCTGTCACCTAGCCTGCGCCTACTCTGCACCTACACTGTTACTTGTAAGTCTCCTCCCATCACCTCCAATAGTGTTACATGCATTCAGGCATGGCATCCCCAAGGTTGTCACCTAGCCTGCGCCTACTCTGGAAACCATGACACCTCTTATTCGCCAATGGGGATGGCGACAACTTTAATTTTTGAACTCTTTCGCCAAGTCCAATGGAGCCTCCCTTAATGTCCAATCGTGTCTCATGCATGCAAAGATGCCTTCTCCAAGGCTGCCACCTAGTTGCGCCTAGTCTGCACCTACATTGTTACTTGTAAGTCTCCTCCCATCACCTCCAATAGTGTTACATGCATTCAGGCATGGCATCCCCAAGGCTGTCACCTAGCCTGCGCCTACTCTGGAAACCATGACACCTCTTATTCGCCAATGGGGATGGCGACAACTTTAATTTTTGAACTCTTTCGCCAAGTCCAATGGCGCCTCCCTTAATGTCCAATCGTGTCTCATGCATGCAGAGATGCCTTCTCCAAGGCTGCCACCTAGCTGCACCTACTCTGCAAGAGTGACACTTATCATGCATGCATGCACAAGCTACCACCTCACTTACTCTATGAAATTTTTTTGCCTATAAATACAGAGCATAACATACTTCTCTCACACCCACAATCGTCTCACTCTCTGCTACAAAGTCTTTCATAATCTCTTACACTTTCTAAGTATTTCATAATCTCAGGCATTTTCAACAATGGCTCTTCTCACAATGGGCGATTCTCACAGAGGCACAAGGGACAACATTGCCGCATTTGTAAGTTTCTATTTTGGTTATACATTTTTTATACTTCAGGTAATGCTTTGTTCATCTTACTTAATCTTACACCTTTTACATTATTAACTCAGGATACCAAAAGATTCAGAATCCGGTCTCACAACTACCTGGCTCCCGACCCATTTATCGTACCATATCTGGAATATGCAGATTTCAGACATGTTATAAAGATCTCTAACTGCACAATTGATTCAAAGTTCATTCTTGCAATATTGGAAAGGTGGAGACCAGAGACCCATACATTTCACCTACCAATAGGTGAATGTACCGTCACGCTAGAGGATGTGTACATGTTACTGGGTCTCCCTGTCGACGGTAAGGCCGTTAACGGGTCTGTTCAACAACCCAATTCTCAGTGTGAAGAATTGTTGGGCAGGGATATGGTTGAAGCTGTGGTGTGAGAGGTCAGGGTATACTACTGACTGAGCTTAAAAATCATTATGCAAGTTTGGAATTAAACGAAAATTCCTCCGAGCAAGACAGGGTAATAAAAGACAGAACTTATCTAATGATACTATTTGGAACCTTTTTATTTCCCGAAAGTATGGGAAATAGTATAAATTTTATGTATTTACATTTACTTAGAGATTTTGAAAAAATAAGAAAGTATAGTTGGGGTTCTGCAGTTTTAGCCCACCTATACAGTTTCTTGTGCAAAAATGCAGTCAAGGAAAAATGTATATTTTATGGCTGCGCTTTTTTACTTCAAGCCTAGGGTTGGTGGAGGATGGAGTCCTTAAACCCCGTCAACAACAACACATTCGTTTTTTCGTACGCAACAAAGTAAGTCATCAAGTTATATCATTTATTACTATTCATCTCTTCACCAAATATATGCTAAAAATAAAACATTTTTCATTTCCTTTTAGGTATTGCGTGAGGGGTATGGATTATGGAAAGAATCCAAGATTCAATGTCGCACTATACCGCAATCTTTTGGATCACCTAGGCCCGGATGATGTACGTCGTACCTTTCAACTTTTCTTCATTTAAATTATTTATATATTACGTTTTCATTAACCTGATCTAATTTTTTTCGCAGTTTTTCTGGAGACCATATTTGGGTTTGGGCCATGAACCAAACCCCGAGGATGTAACAATTTGGAGCGCCAAGACTGTAATCATATGGTTTAATGTTATGGAGATGCACCACAGCGACCGTGTGAAGATGCAGTTCGGAATGCATCAAGAGATACCAAGTGATTCGACTTATTTGTCCTCGTGGCATCTCAAAAGGGTCAACGCCCAGTGGGGTCTTACCAACTGGAAAGACTTTGCTCCAGAATGGTGTAAGATGTGGCAGAGGCGTCACCGACATGTCTTGCAATTCCAGGTTTTCCTCAATCATGGTAATATGTGACACATGGATCATTATTTATCTTGGTACATGTCAGTTAGTAACTCTGAAATGCACGTGTCTCATCCAAGGTATTTGGTTGACCCACAAACACAATGGGCACAACCCTCGTTTTCCCAACAACAAACCCAACACACATCAACCTCCCACCAACCCCCCAGATGAAACAGAACCACAAACACCCAACCACAGTCCCCACCACAACACAATTACACCCAAATGCCCCACAACCAACCACAATCACCACCTCAGTACCAATACCCCCATATGCCTCACACCCAATCGCAATTCCAATCACAATACCAACACACCCGCATACCCCACACACAATTTCAGTCTTCTGTATATCCCAATATGGACCCCTCAACATCCAGCCTTAGCCCTGATCTGGGAATGTCGGAAGATTACGAACCAACCGATCCAACTTACCATCAACCACAGTATCACCAAACCACCCAACATCCTCAATACCAAGCACCCCAAGATCCATTTCCTTTCTACCCCTCGTACTCAGACGATCAATGCTACAGACCCACCATGGAACCCCACCCACCGCCAACACGACCAAACTTTAAGGGTATGAGTAACCGACTGTACCAAAGAGGATCTTCTAGATATGGAGATCTGACTGATTTCATGGATCCGAAACGCATTGACTTCGCTAGGCCATCGATCCTGCCACAGCAGAAAACGCAACGACACGCAGCACGGAAAAGGCGAGGACGGGGATGCGGAACCGGGGGTCATTACCGGGTTCCGGAGGACCACTAATTTATCTGTTTTTTCATGTAATACTTATGGGTGTAATCATTTTTTTATAATAAAAAGTCAATTTTGTTGATCCTGTATCGAATACGCAACGCACTGGATTGAAAAAAAACACAAAAATTGCCCTAGAAATGCACTAAGGCGCCATCTCACTTGACTTAGGGCAAGCCGTAAGCACCTAGGCGCCAAGTGAGATGGCGCCTCTCCTTAAATAATGGGTGTAGGCGCCAAGTGAGATGACTCCTCCTTTAGAGAGTCATCTGAAACATGGTTATTTGCGTAATTTTTTGCGAAACATGGTTATTTGCAAAAAAAAAAATTTAATACATGGTTATTCAAAAAAAAATTCCAGATACAGATTTTATATACTATATCTATCCATCTATTTCTTAATTATAATTTCTTCAAACTGCATGGAATTATTATAATGTGGCTTTCAGCAATTCACTGTTTGACAAGAAAGCTGCAAAGCTTTTTAGATGATACACTAAAATTTAAAACCATGGCATATATAATGTAATAATATAATATATTATTAAATATGAATATAAAAATTAAAGCATATAGTAGAGCGGTTGAGTGCATACTTAGAAGAGGGTGTTGGGTTCAAAATCCATCTGATGTAAAAGAATTTTTTTTATGGGATAGATAGGAGAAATGTTTCATAGATGATATGAAAATGTATGATAAGGATAATTCATAAGAGAATTTGAATATATGAATGAAAGCACTGATTGATAAGAAATTTTCCTATCAAATCTATAAATTAGGATTTCTACACTAAAAGAGAGAGAACGTTAAATCAATTAAATGAAATAAAAGAAAATAATTTTTTTCATTTATTAAGAGATCAAAATAAATATTTTGTCAATATTTTAAATTTTAAAAGTTGAATATAAGAGTTTTTAACAAATGTCTCTATATTTAGTTCATAAACTTGTACCTTAAAGAAGACAAGTCTACATCGACATGACCCCCTTAATGAAAAGGTTGGTTTGAGGGTGAGAATTAGGCCACGCTAGAAAGCCAATCCTGCCTTGTTGGCTTCTCTAAGCATACAGATTTCATTTCATCCACCCACACAAACAACACAACCAAAGTAACTCCAATCTCACATCACATTCTCTAGTATCTCTATCTCATATCTCCCACCCAAAAGCAAAAACAACAAACAACAATATGTTACCACTTTGTTCTTCCTCTTCCATGGCTGCTAACCCTTCCCTCACTCTCCCAACCAATTCTTTCCTCACATTACTCCACCCTCCTCCATCTTCTCGCAACACATCATCCTCATCATCATCATCACTTTCTTCAACCTCATTCAACTCTCAGTTTTTAGGCCTCAAGTTATCTCATTCTTCCATTTCCATAACCCCTTCTCCACTTTCATCTTCTTCACGCAAAGGAGCCTTTGTTTTTGCCAAGGTACGTTAGTCCATAACATACAAACTTGTTACAATCCACTTGCATTACTGTTTGTTTGTTTGTTTGTTTGTATATCTTCAATTCATTGCTGAATGGCAGGTTAGTAAAGGCTCGAAGCCACCGGGTTTTACGCTGAAAGATCAGGATGGTAAGACTGTGAGTCTCTCTAAGTACAAAGGGAAGCCTGTTGTTGTTTATTTCTACCCTGCTGATGAGACCCCTGGTTGTACCAAACAGGTAATATAGTCCAAACTATGTTAGATTGTGTGAGTTCGTTTGTATTTCTATGTGTAGATAGATGAATTTTATATATAGAGCGCATTGTAGCTTCTAATAATAGTCATCTATGTATGTGTTAATAGTTGGTAAAATCTCACGTCGGATAATATATTGGCTATACATGTGTTTATAAGTGGAGGACAATCCTCATCTTACCAATCAGTTTCGTAAGATTGAGTTTGACTCAACCATAATTCTTAACTTGATATCAAAGTCTAGTTTAAGATCCATTAGGTCATCTGTTATTAGATTTCTGTTATCGAGTCACTCACTATTTATGTCTATGCCCCAGATGTCCAGTCCTAGACGTGAGGGTGTGTATGTTCAATCTTGATCAGTGATGGGATTGACCTACGCGAGTGTTCATTCTTTATCTCTATGAAATGTTGCAGGCCTGTGCTTTTAGGGATTCATATGAGAAGTTCAAGAAAGCAGGAGCGGAGGTTGTTGGGATAAGTGGCGACGATACTGCGTCTCACAAGGTAAAACACAGAATTTTCACTGCATAACTTTTATGCCTATTAAGTATTAACCAATGCATTGCATTAAAATATAGGCATTTGCCAAGAAGTACAAACTTCCATATACACTGTTGAGTGATGAGGGTAACAAGGTAAGGAAAGAATGGGGAGTTCCAGGAGATTTCTTTGGTTCATTGCCAGGGAGAGAGACTTACGTTATTGACAAAAATGGCGTGGTTCAGCTCGTTTACAACAACCAGTTCCAACCCGAAAAGCACATCGATGAGACCTTGAAACTACTTCAAAGCCTTTAAAGCTTCTGTATCCCTTCTGTATGAAACCGTTGTAAGTAAGTAGCTGATTTTGAACACTTTGGTTACATGATAATGTTAAAAATACTACTCTTTCTTCTATAGAGAGCAAACAATTGTAACGTATCGCGATGAAAATGTTACCTTCGATTGTCACAAACACTGTCACATATCAGTATCTTTTACATATCGTAAGTTCGAGTTTGCTTTGTGAAATAACAAAGTTCAGCAATTTATATGATTTATTTAATTAACATGGCTATAAACCATGAAAGATTCATGACTACATTTTAGAAACATGACTATTGAGCATAGTAAAGGAGAGAACATGCTTTTATTTTTCTTATAGTTCGACTATTTTTATTCGATTGTTACTTAAATGGTTATAGGCTGTGTTTCAATTTTCCTTCTGGTAGTCTTGACTGCTGTACGGGCCGAACGCTTCGGATATCCAGTTCTTCTTCCTCCACGAACTCCTTCCAAGATCGTTACATATTTCATCGCTATGGTTGATGCTATATGTTGAAATGCAGTGTCTCTTGTAGAACCTTGTTGACCTTTTCATGACTTCAATCTCTTCAAGTGTCTGCGAAAGCATTCGCTCGACTTTTGGAAGCTTGAATTTGTCGTCTACAAGCCCAGAAAGCCACATTGAACGTAGCTCTGAAGAGTGGAGATTCGAAACGCTCTCAACGTATCCGATAAAAGCCATGTTTGGAATCAATGGATGGATAGTTCCCCTGTCATAAATAGCACAATCCTAGTTATAGAAAAAGCGCAAAAACGATGCTTATAGAAAAAGACGTACCCAGCGTTTCTTACCTGTATAACGGCATAAGACCAGAAGGGTACTCCAACAGACTACAAAAAGGTTCTGGTAAAATCGCTTTGAGCTTTTTCTTTCCTTCAAAACCAGTTGCAAGGATCACTACATCAGCTTCCACCTTAGCGCCATCTTCGAACTCGATCCCTTCATTACAGAACCACCACTTCGACCCCTTTTTAAAGAGAATCTTCCCCTTTTCCACCTCAGAGAAGAAATTCTCCGGCATGATAGCCATTTGACACGACGCGTAATCTTCCTCAAAAGGGTGTTCAGGTTTTAATCCATACTTCTCCAACGGAGCTTTCGACATAATGTAGGACTCAATGAACTTTGAAATGCCAAGCCTCTATAACAGATTGTTTGTTGGATTGCACATCAAGAAACAATTAGCTATCAATTAATTATTTGATTAAGAGTTTGTTAATGAAAATGTTAATCATGTTTATACCATTGGAGATAACAAGAAGCATAGAAGATCTCTAAGTAAGCCTTGGTTTGGTCTTTGGTGGAGTAACTGAGAAGATCTTGTTGAGTAAAACAAGAAAAATGGCAAACCCCATATCCAGTAATGTGGAACTGTCCAATGCAAAGTTCTTATCACCATGGTGCATGGTTTTCCTTCAACTCCTTCATAAACAAGTCAGCACTAGCTTAATTACATATACTTTTAAAATCAGATATTATATGGCCTAAACATATTTATAACCGGGACAATCTCCATCTTACAAATCGATTTTATAAAATTGAGTTAGGTCAAATACTCTGATTCTTAACATGATATTATAATTTTATTTTAAATCTGTTGACCATCTGCTATAAAATTTTCGCTATTAAATTATATATTATAACTCAATTTTATGCGTTGAAATGTGAGTGCATTATTATTCTAGTGTAAGACTGCCACACGTGGTTATGTGAAGAAAGTAGATGAATGTCAGAATCAGTCATTGAAATGAAATTCATTTTCTCTTTTTAAGACGTATGTCATGGAAGAGTCTAAGGATTGACATGTATGAATATTGGTTTAACGAGAAAAAATTGTACTAGACAAAAAAAGTTATGAAGCTGACTTTTTTTTGTGTGAAAGGGAAATACAAGGTTGACTATGCAAATGCATGTGTACATGTCGATGCATCTATTCATAACTGACCCAATACAGGAAAATTCAATGTTAGGCTTGTTTAGTATGGTTAAGAATGAAATTTAATTAATTGAACTAAAGCATAACAAAAAGTTTAAAGAATCAAATTAAACTATTGGATTAATAAATCATCTCATCTAATTATTAATTATGAAATGTTATGTTACCCATATTTTGAATTACCTTGGTTTGCCTGTGCACATTCCATGGCTAAATCAAGAGCAGATTTTTTGAAACCTACTATAACAACTTTTTTGTTGTTGAGAAGTTGATTAGCAGCTTGTTGATCAAGTTTACAGTAATCAAGTGTATGAAGGACCTTTCCATTGAATACCTCAGGGCCTCTTTTGCTTGGAAACATTGGAATCTTTGGTATGTCTCCATATTTCCCTATGCAAACCACCACAAACTCGAAGCTGTACCACTGAAATTAAAATGGATATAAGAAATTTTTTTATTTTATTTTTCTATTAACCTACTTAAAACTATTTTATTTAAACATATATAAATAAATAACATAAATATTATTTAAATACATTAATAAGTTAAAAGAATAATGAAAATAAATAATGAATGGTAATGCAGTAAGTAGTTGATTCAATATTAATTTATTTACTAATGACTTAACAATATATGTGATCATTTAATAATGACATACTATGGTGGTTTTTCACCAAGTCATTAATATAATATTTTTAATTAAAAAATTAATAACATCTAAATAAAAGGTCATTGCCTTACCAACTCCTTATTATCAATAATTATATTTTTCAACAAGAAATTTTAAGCCATAAAGAATATGGACAAATTAAGAATTCAGTGTTTTTAATCATTTTGTTTCTTTCAAAATTACAATATATTCATATACGGGTCTCTAGGATAGTCCTGGTCCAATGGTGTGTGTGGATCATCGACTTATCTAATTTATTATAAATTATTTATTTTATAAAAGAAAATCCAATTCAGATGGCAAAAGAATCTAATTACAAAAGTACAGTTTCAACTTCTAGTTCTAACATATCATTTATTCTTTTTTAAAAGATAAATTTAAAATTAAGTATAGTGGAGAAATATATTAATTTATTTTTAACTATAAATTATATATATTTTTAAAGCCTGATATCATACATTAATATGTATAAATATATATTTTTTATGTATATATTTATATAAATGATTTGAATTTTTTTAAAATATATTAAATTATTAATAAGTCAATATATTAATGAAATTTAATTTTAATTTTTAATTTTTAATTTTTAATTTAATAGAATGTAATTATATATGACATTAGAGTGAATCGGGTAATTCAAATGATATGTATTAATTGAAATAAATAATTATAATTAATTAATCTCTAAATTAAATTAGACAGTTCAGTAGAGTGGATATTGGTGACAAAAATTAAATAAAAAGAATAAATAATTATAAATTAATTATTAATTAGTTCAGTATTGATTAATATTAGACTTGATAAAAGAGATTACAACTCAATCCTCTGCAATTACTATTGTGAGGGGCTGAAACCACAATACCGGTTTTGAAAAAAATATAAAAATTGATAATTGTAAGTTATTAGTTTATGATTCACATGCTAATAATACTTTTTGATTTCTTACAATATATTAAAGTAAAAACATTATTAATACATATAATTAATAATTAAAAAGTTATATATATGATATTAAATGAAATTTTAATACATAATAATACATTTAAATAGGATAAAAATTAATGTGGATTAATAAAAAAATTATTGAAATAGATTAATAAAATTAAAATTTAATTTAAAATAGAAATATAATTTAATAATAATAATAAATAATAATAATAATAATAATAATAATAATAATAAATATTATTCATATTATTTAAAATTATTTAGTAAACCTAAAAAGATTTTTTAAATGAGTTGGAGTCTATCAGTTTTATCTAACCTAACCTGAATGTGTATTATAGTCTAAATTATAAACGTTTATTGATCTTTCTATCTTTTTTAGAATATTCTATACAATCAATGTTTCTCTTTTTTTAGTTAAAGTTCACCCTAACCTATCATAAATGGAATAATATACGCTAAATTGCAAACATTTATTGATTAGTCTTTTTTTATATTTTAAATTCCATACAATCAAACTTTCTTTATTTTAGTTAAAGTTTGGCATAATCTAATCCAAATGTAATATAGTCTAATTGGTAAATAGATCTAAAAATTCTATACAATCAAGCTCAATATGTAGATTGCCGATTAATTTGGGTTCGTTCTAATTTTAAAATAAATTTAAATTTAAAAATATAATTATAATCATTAAAAGTGATAATAAAAAATACAATTATATATTAATAAAAATAGATTTAACCTTTTTTTTAAAATTTTAATCAATCTCATTTTCTATGTTTTGGATTTTATTATAGTATTTTTTTATGTATTATATTTTTATTATAAATTTTTTTTAATATCTAATAATCAAAAAAAAAATTGAACCTTTCAAAATTTAAGACCGTATACAATAAAGCAAAACCGCTCCCATTTATATAATCGATTTTATAGAGATATGAGATATAATTTCTCTGAAATCATATGTGACCGCATAAGATATCACAGAAAAAAATAGTATTGAAAAATTAAATGAAGAGAGAAAATAATAAAAATAACCTATAAAATTCACTAAATATAGGGAAATTTGTGATTTATGAGTGCATAGGATTCAAATTCTTAAATATGCTAGTTAGTTCCAACAAATTTATATAAAAAAAAGCTTGTTAAGGTAAATGAAGACCTGAATGGCATGAGAGTCATTGGTCTGCACAGCAACATCCCACATAGATTGTCCAGGAAGTAAACATCCATACTCAAGATCACAAGATAACCCTAGTCCTCCAAACTCAGAATTTGTGTTACCACTAAACCTGAGTTCTACTACCTTAGACTTAAACCTGATATTCTTCACCACATCAAAATACTTAGCATAAGAACGCAAATAATCCACCACTTCAACATGTGTAGGAAAATCATTGTTATCTCTCTCCGGCCAAGGAAAATCAGTGAACTCATAGTCCCTACGATGAGATTGAAGCTTTGTGGAATTGTATGTACAATGCTTCCACACACCACCAATGGAATCAGAGGCTTCAAACACAATAGGATTCAAGTGTGATAGCTGTTTTGCTATTGCTATACCACTTACTCCACCTCCTATTATTCCTATTTTTGATACTATTTTTGGATGGTTACTTTCATTGATCGTAGACATGGTTTGTTGGTAGTGAAAAAATTTAAATAATTTCTATGAGTGAGTGAATAATTAATATGAATGAGTGTGTGATGAAACTCTAGGATGTTAGGTTGTATATATAGTAGCTTGAGGTGCATGCAGTCGTCACAATGAGATCACGTGCCGTAGACTTTTTGTTGTTTGAAGTGAATCAACAAGAAAAATAGGAAAAGTGTTTACATGTCTATTAAATTCTTTTAGCCAGCTTTGCATTATTCTTTTAATAACAATAATAATAATATAAAAGTTCTTATGGAAATTCATTGGTCATGGTTGAGAACTTTCGTGCTACCTACGGGCCAGTCTTTTAATTTGTTCAATACACTACATTAAATGAGTTTTAAGAATGTCTTATTAAGAACACTTTAATCTAAACACACCCTTAATAAAATGTGGTGGATTTTTTTCTTTCAAAAGCGGTGTAATATATTTGATTAAAAATTATTTTTTAAATAATATTTTAAAGAATCATCAATTAATAATAGGTAAGAAAAAGAGATGAGCGGTTAAATAATTATTCTTTGTTAAAGATGACGATGATGAAGTGACAATCAATCTCAATATATTTGATACATTCATGAAATACCGAGTTGTGAGCAATTTGAATGATAATTTTGTCATCACAATACACAAGACTTGGTTGAGAAAGAGGCACATCTGTATTCAAAATTAATCAACGCAACCAAACTATTTCAGTAATGGTAGATGTCATAGCATGATACTCAGCATATGTATGTTGAAGAGTGAGATACAATATTTTGTTTCTTACTTTTCTAAGAAATACAAGAGTCTCTAAGAAAGATACAAAAACACATGGTAGGCTTGTGATTCGTGGAGTCATCAAGCATTCGAATAAGCATGTAACTCCAATGAAAACGATGAAAGAAATCAAAATGCTCAAAAACTGAGTTCTCTGAAGATAACAAAGAATGCAAAGAACAATTGTCTAATATGTTGTAGTAGTGGAAGATACAACAAGCTAACTAACAACATAAGAAATAACAAGTCTGGAAATCATAAGGTACACCAAGTACTTACCAAAGTAAGATATAAAGTGGGATCTGGTAAAGTAACTCCGTTAGAGGGAGCATATTTCACATTCAATTCAAGAGAACTATTTTCTTCTCTAATATTAGAAAGACAAACTTGTTCAAGGATGTTGGCAATGTACTTGGATTGAGAAAGAAGGAAGCCTTTACAAGAGTAAGCAACTTCAATCCCCAAGAAGTAGCAAAGAGTACCTAAATCCTTCATTCAAATTGTTTGGCTAATTGTAAATTCAAATCATCATATCATTAACACCATCACCTATAATTATCATATCTTTAACTTATAATGAAATTAAAATAAAACCATGAAAAATAAATTGAAATCATGATCACTAGAGCAGAAACTAAGAGATATAATAACAATGGTAAGTTCTCAAACAAATCCTGTGGAGCTTGTTTCGAACCATTTAACATACACATTCCCCCGTGATTATGAAAAACACATAGAGGAGGTATCATATAAACTCCCTCATGAAGATTGCCATTTAGAAAGGAATTTTTAACATCCATTGAGAAACATGCCATTAGAAAATCGATGAAACTGCAATAAGAGTGCAGATAATATTCATCATGGTCACTATAGCAAAGGTTCTTCATTATCCTAACCATGTTTATGAGAGAATCTTAGCAACAAGGCGTGATTTGAAGCACTCAATTGACTCATCAGTCTTAGTTTTGATTTTGCATATCCAACAAGACTCAATATAATGTTTTTTAGGAGGAAAAGTTATGAATTCCCAAATATCTTGTGCAATGTAGAGAGTTCTTCTGTTATAGCCTGCTACCAAAGAGGCTCAAGTATAGCTTATTTATATGAAAATAGCTCAAAAAAACTATAAATAGATGTTAGAAAAGAATAAAATTAAGCGCACTAAGTGGAATAGATAAAATTAAACAATTGGTAGACTTACGATCATGAGATAAATAACGACGAGGAGAAGGAGGTTGAGCAATCATGAGAAGTTGTTAGGTAGCCGTGGGGATTAAATGGGTGTCAATATTAAGATTAGAAGTAGTATCAGACTCTAGTTCTCAAAATTACAATCACTAAAAATATTATCATCTCGAAGAACTATTCAAAATTTAATGAGACACTACTTTTCTCTCTGGTTGGTGTATGCGCTGACAATTTTTAATTTCACTGCTTCCATAAGAGTCAATTGATCATATAAATTCGTCATGACTGAATAAACTTTGTGAATGGTCATATTTTTTTTGCTTAAGAGCCCTAATGATACTCTCCCACTGATACCATTCTGAAAAATTAAATTGATTATACAAATATTTCAAATAATCACAAACCTCCTCAGCAGTATCATATTTTGCTAGTTGCACACCTATTGACTGAAAAACAAAATTATTGATTCAAGTAAAAATCTTTGAATTACTAACATCTCATGTTTCCAACTTTTTTGCATATGCTGCTTCATTTTTTTTATACGCGGGCTCAACAAAATTTCAATCAACATAACGCCACACCCTATATGCTTTGAAAAATTTTCATTACATAACTCCAATAATCATAATTTTATATATTTAATTGAACACTAACACATTGAAGAGAATCATCTTTTTCACTAGTCACTACTATTAATCTAAGAATTTAAAATACAAGAAATTCAAATGTATAGCGACCCAAAAGAACTTTAATTTTTTTTTTTGGAGAGAAACAATTCATAACATACAATTGACGATACTAATCAATTGAATGAGTAAGAAAATAAATTGTTAGTGCAATTGGGGGGGGGGGGGGGGGGTGGGGTTTCATGGGAATAAGAGAGTTACATCTCAAATATAAAGAGGACTCATGTCTAAAGAGGAAAAGCCAAATGGCAAAAAGATTTGAATGAGTTTTGTGTTTTTTAAGTCTTTTTTTTTTATAAAAAGTTTGATATGCTTAACATGTCTTAGCATTTGTTAAAGAAAGAAGTTTGAAAATGCACTTAACAATGTTAAGGTTTATTAAGAAAGTGGTTTGAGTTTGAAAACGAGAAGGTTTTGAAAAAAAAGAGAAGATTTTGAAAATTAAAAAAGATGGACAAGAGATGAAGGGACTATCCTAAAGCATAAAGTAAAAGCAAATGAAGAAGTGATCTGACCAAGATATATTAAGCAACTTGATATAAGTCAAACGAACATCTCATTCCTTTGGACTAAAGTCACACATAAGCAAGTAAACAAATGAATAACATAAGCATCAGATGAAAATTTGATGTCTCGGATGAAAGCTCAAGGTCTCAGTATCAGATGAATCATAGAGTGCAGGTGAATTCTCATGCATCAGATGAAAACTTGATGTCTCAAATGAAAGCTCCTGCATCAGATAAAACACACAAAAGAAAAACAGATAGATAAAACCCAATGATTAGATGAAACTCCTAAAGGTTTCAGATGAAGGCTCCAAGGTCTCAGTGGGATCAAGGTATCATATGAATGAAGGTCTCAAATCACAACTCCAAAGCATAGGATCAAGAACATAAATCTAAGTCCATAAGTCCATTTCCAAGCCAAGGGTAGTAACCATAGTCCAAGAGAACCACTAAGTCTTTTAGGGTTTGATATTTATTAATATCTTTGAAAAGAAAAAGAAAAAATCCAAGGGATCAAGAGAAAAAGACAATAAAAATAAAGGGCAATAAAAATGAAATGGCATGAATGATAAAATGCTAAAATGCTAAAATTAAATTGCGAGAGCTTAAATGATATAAATGTAAAGGTGCGAGAATTTAAATGGAATATAAAAGTCAAGAGATTAAAGTCAATTAAATTATCATTAATGTTAGTAATTAGTATTCCGATTCAGGATAATTTGGCGCCATGTTAAGCAATCGTAAGTGAAATTATGTAAAATTTACACCTAAATGAGACCGGGCCAAAATAATGCATGTGTATTGCATATAATGCACGCCATGATTTAAAAGCAATGGTGATCAAGAGCTAAGTCAAGGCGATTGGTCCATTACATCAATCATTCTTCATGATAAATTATGAAGAATTTTCACTAATCCAAAGTACCTAAAATGACCAATGATCAATTAGAAGGTAGATTTGAAATGATGAAAGTTTATCAAGTACCAACACAAACTTCATGAACAAGATGGATCCTAAATCATCCAATTGATCAAAAAAGAAAAAGAGTAAGAAAGAGATGAAGATAGAAAAGAAATCACAAATTGGACCAATGCATTAATCAAGTTATCATTAAAATCAATCATCCATTTTGGGGGGATTAGGGTTTTCACCCCATCAACACCCAAGATCCATTGATGTTGATGAAACTTATGACCAAATGAGCCGTGATCCAAGGCCAACAACAATCAACATAAATCAAATAAATATAAAATGCAATACAAGTAATTAAAATGCATGAAAAAAGATTTTTAAAAATGGTTTTAAAATATAAATGAAAGAGAAAATAAGAGGGGTTTACCTAGAAGTTCTGGTCCAAAAATAAATTTGACAAATAATGGGCAAAATATCAATAAGTAAACTTAAAAAGGTGTTTATGGGGCTAGAACTCGGGACCCTTAACACTAATGCCTTAAACGTTCACTCTCTACGAATGGGGTGGCTATACATCTGATATTAGAAACAAAAACATAAACATATATTACAAAGTAAGTTCTGATAACGAACTCCATCTTCTTCTTCATGTCAACCAGAGAATCAACAACTTAGTTATTTCTTAATAAAATGAAAAAAATACAAACATAGCAGTTATGGAAAATTTCATCATGGTCTCAGAAATATAAAGCATCAGAACTGCAAATATAACAAGCATGAATTTGGCCAATTCTAATTCTGAAACCTAACTTCCCCAAGAAGTTGTAATCTAAAACTCTCTCTACTTAGGCAAAAATACATGAAATTCATAAATATGTACAGAATCAGAGTCATGATATCTACATTGTATTTTTGAAAATGCAAGCC